TTAAAGTTCCCCCCCCCCCCCCCCCCCTTCGCGCCCCTTGGCCCCTCCTCGCTCCCGCCCTCCCCCCCGCCCCCCCCCCTCCGTGCTCCGCCGCCCGTGCGCCCAGCCGCACCACCCGCCCGACTCCCGGAGGACGCCCCCTCCCTCCGCCCGCCGACCCCTCGTCACCACCGCCCCTCGCACCGCAGCGCTCACGCACCTGCCGTCGTGCCGCGCACCCACCACCCTCAGCCCCGCTGCAGGACGCCACCAAGGTGAAGGAGGGCCCCTCTGAGCAGCTCTCTTCGGACGAGAGCGATGCGCTCCGCGCGCGCGGCAACGCGGCCTACCAGGCAGGCAACCTCGACGAGGCGCGCGAGATCTACACGCACGCCATCTCGCTCGACCCGAGTGGCGCCTCTGCATACTTGCTGCACTCCAATCTCTCCGCCGTGTACGCGTCGCTCAAGGAGTGGAACCTCTCGCTGCTGCACGCCTCGAAGTGCGTCGATCTCGACCCGCACTTCGCCAAGGGGTGGCCGGGCGGCGGCGGGCGGGAAAGGCGTGTCCCGGACGCGTCCCAGACGTGTCCGCGCCCCCGCAGGTGGTCGCGCATGGGCGCGGCGTACGAGCGGCTCGAGCAGTTCGTCAAGTCGGTCGGGGCCTACCGCCTCTGCCACCTGCTCGACCCGGACAACATCAACGCCGCGCGGGCCGCAGAGAGGCTCGAGCCCAGCGCCGGCGCTTTGTGCAGCGCAGGCGCGGCCGCAGCAGTTTCGGGCGCCGAGGCCTTCGACGAGGGCGACCACAAGGCGGCCGTCGCCTTCATCACGGTGGCGATCACCACCCTCGGCGGCCACTTCTTCACCGACACCGCGGCGCAGCTGTTCTGCACTCGATCTGCCGCACATGCGTCCGACAACAACTTCTCGCTGGTGCGGATCCGCCGAGATAAGCCGAGATTGGCCGAGATTGACCGAGATCGACCGAGATTGGCGGCGCGGACACGTCGAGCGCGTGTCCCAGCAGTGTTTGGATGAATCGCGAATAGGCGCTGCTCGACGCATCCCAGGCCGTTTTGCAGCGGCCGCGCTGGCCGCAGGCCCATGCGCTGAAGGGCCGCGCGCTGCGCGGGCTGCGCCAGTACGACCTCGCGGCCGCGTCGTACCGGGCGGCGCTCGCCTTGGACCCGAGCGATGACGGGGTCTCCGATCTGCTCTGCGTCTGCTTGCGCGAGGCGGGCGAGGCCCCGGCCCGCGGCGCTCCTCAGGTGGGCGGCGAGCTGCCGCTGCCGCCGGGCGGGGCAATCAGCTCCTCGAAGCGCACACAGCGGGGCTTTTTCCTTTGTTGTTTTTTTACTCTCTTTCTCTTCTTTTTTCTCATATTTTGTTCCTGTATTCCTTTTGTTACTATGATCTCATTTGTTCTCGTAATATCATCTTTGTCCCTCTTTGTCTTTAATCATAGATTCTGTGTTATTTCTTTTCTTTGGATTTCACTCTATCTCTTTCTTCTTTCTTTAT